CCCCGGCTCCTCCTCCAAAGCCCCCGGCTCCTCCTCCAAAGCCTCTGGCTCCTCCTCCAAAGCCCCCGGCTCTTCCCCCGAAACCTCCACCCATCCCTCTTCCACCACCTCCGAAACCACTGCCTCCTAAGCAGCCCCCACTGGCACCCCCAAACCCGCCAGCCCGAATGCTGCCTCCAGCCACACTCTGGGAGATCCTCTTGTTCCCCCCGAGGTTGTGGAGACTCCTGCTGCTTAAGCCGCCCCCCATCATGGCGCAGGCAGCAGATCCACTGCCCCCTCCTCCCGAGCGGGAGCAGGATGAGGACTTGGTGCCGCTGATTCTGCTGTGGCTTGACACCACAGCCGAGTGGCCACTGAAGCCCTGGCGGCGGCCACCCCCACTGCAGGACTGTTGGCTGTAGCTGGCTTGGCGACTCATGGTGGACGGCAAGGTATTCCAAAGGAAAGGTGGATTCAGAAGGCTGGAGGGATCTCAGAAACCTTCTGGAGTCTGGGGCCTGGGACGGCCTTTATATAGGGCCCAGGAGCTTGGCTGACTGTGTGGTGCCAGCCAACTAATTGAGTTATTATCAGCTTTGGTTTGCCTGGCAGCAAGAGGTCAAGTCCAAACTCACAACACACCTTGATAATCACCCCAACTTTCCAAATTGCTTTGTTTTCCCAGGGTTACTCACCTGAAATAAGCTTAAGTCGGGAGAGGGGCCATCCTTCAGGGCTGGACGCAGCCCCTAATCCTTGGGAGACTTATGTTCCCATCCTGGGAATGGCAGGTCAGCATTTCGCCTCCTCTCCTGTGTCCCCATGGCCACTCCACCGATCCACTCAGCCTTAGTAGGTCGCTGGGATGGGTGTGGAGCCCTCGTAAGTGCTGGGCTCCCAGCGAAGAGAAGGGAGAGAGGAAGTCTGTGAAGGAGAGAGACTGACGAGAAGGGGGGTGCAGAGGCCAGAAAACGTAGACCAACTCCCTTTGAGATCCTGCCATCCAGGGAAGAGGAGACACACATACAAGATAGACTCTGGCCTAAGCTCTCTACTACAAGTGCACCCAGAACCGGGGGCCAGAAGGGCCTTGGAGGGAAAGTTTGGGCAAGGGGTAGAAAGGGGTCATCCAGAGAAGGCTCCCTGGAAGAAGGGGAACAAGGGGGGCCTTGAGAAAAGAGGAGAGAGCATCCCAAGGACTGTGGAAGGAGTGGGCATGTTCAAGGAGACGGCAAACTGGAGGAAGACCTGGTCAGCCAGGCATAAACCCGTAGGGCAGCAGGTCCAGACCCGCAGGGCCATCCCTCTTCCCTTCCCAGCTCGAATTGAGAACATGAATGCAGGATTGCCGGGGCCCCTGTCCCTCTCAATGTGAGATGCATCGCCTACACCACCGACAAAGCATGAGTTCCTCCCAGGGAAGTTCAAGAATGGCGGTGCCCCCTTTCTACGGAGGTCGAGAGGATCGCGCAGGAGGAAAGTTCTCGATTGAAGTGTGGTCTGTGCCGTGACTGTTAACTCCTCTTAGAACACTTGCCTCCTCCTTCCCTTCGGCCGCCAAGTGCAGCCTGGGGGTCGCAGCCTTGATGAACCCAGTCTTGATGGCAGTGTGACCCTAGGGAGCCCACCCTTCTTAAGTGTTCCCCTCCTGTCTCCCCTTCCAATGTGACTCTCCCAAGTCACTCAGGTACTAGCTCCCACGAGAGGCCCTCTCTGCGTCTCTCTCACCTCCTCTCCTTGGCTCTGCCCCCTTGCTCTCTGGCTGCCCCGCAGCTGTGCCTTCTCCGGGAGTGCTCGGCCATCGGAGATGTTAGCTGGAAGAAGGGCCCATTTAAGCACGCAGATGCATATGGGACCCTCAAGTAAAGCAGGTGAAGAAAGTGTGAGCAATAGAGGTGATCCTTGACTCAGGTTTCCCTCACGCTGCCAGACTCTCTACACGCAGGTACAGAGAGACACGGAGAAACGGAAAGGAAAAACCCATATCCCATACCGTCTCTCGAACACGTGAACATAGACATCCATACTCCTCAAGCCGCAAGCACACATTTTCTGTCCACAGGGGTCTTCCCGACTAAGCCTTTATCACTCTCCTTGCTCCCTTCAAAAACCAGGAGCCTCCCTTATTTCCTCAGGCCCTTCCTCCTGCCCAGAGTATGGTGCTGGTCTATGAGATCAAGAGTCCATAACTCTCCCATGTGAAGGTGCACGGTGCGAGACAGGGACCAAGGGCCTCTCCCGCTGTGGCCACGAACTGAGTCTTCCCGCTGCTTCCTGCCCTCGATTTCCCCTTCTGAACAGGGCTTTGGACTTGAGCTTGGCTTTTCAAATTGGGCCCTCCTGAAGTCTCATGGTTCGGTTGGAGGAGGTTGGGTGGGAGGGGCAGCAGTAGCATTAGTCTAGCCTCGCCGTTGCCGCCACCACCGTCTTAGTTCCTCCTCTTTGATCTCTTGGAAGAAACTGTTCAAAGGTGTGCATTCTCTGCTAGTGCTATTGTTCCCTTACAGAACCGTCTATTGTTTGGCTGAAAACTGAGCCCAGGGATGAGTTCAGTTCACTACCCGAAGGGGCAACTAATGGCCAGTCATGAGGATTCCACCGGTCTCTTTGTGGCCAGTTAGCATTTACCCAAGAGCAAAATCCCGAAGGGTTAGGAAACGGGAAGGAATGGAAGCAGGAAGCCCA